GGGTTTTAAACCGGCCCTTTGGGGGGAGGGAGGGGGTCCAACCCGCCCCCCCCCCCGAACCCGGAAACCCCCGCGGGGTTTTCTTTTGGGGGGGGGGGGGGGGGGGGGGGGCTGAAGGGGTGAAATTCGGCTCAGAAGAGCGCACCCAAGAGTTACATGGTACTGATGTCTTGTCTCATGTGCCCCACTGTCACCGGGATGTTGAGAGAGACAGAGAGAGCAGCGCAGTCTCGCGGACCGCATGCCCCGCCCCCCCCAAACAGCCCGTCCAAAGTGCGTGGGGGGTTAGAGAAAACCACCTGATGAGGACACACACACCTTCCCGGGTCACTTCTTGGGTCTCGTCCGCTGTCACAGCAATCTCTCTTCCCTGTCAAGGCCGCTACTAAATAGTAGTCTCGCCGCCATGCTGGCACAACATAGAGGGGGCGGAAACACAGCGTAGCCTACGGGCACACGCTCGTCTCTTCGAAATCCACCCCATCCCTCCCGGCGGAGATCATCACCAGGACGGGGCCGGAAGGCTTCGACAGCGACGGAGGTTTAGTTTACCTGATCGCAGAACCAAGCAAGTGTCCTGGCAGCAACGGCTACCGCACCCACCCTTTTTTCCTTCTACCACAGTAGTGGGGGTCCCTTAATAGTGCCACTGCCCGGAATAGTGCGGGTGAAATCGCGTGAAACGGATGGAAACTCCAACTCGTCTGATTGTCTCAATACACAAGTGCCGGGTGCCTGCCCGGGGTAGAGTGACACCGGCGAACCTGGCGGGCACACACCGGCGGCGCTACTGAGGGGCCCCCACTACTGCCGCACCAGCCTTAATCCTCTCACCGCGATGTTGAGGGAGTGGCAGTAGCGGACGGCATCCACCACCTGCGCCACGATGTACGCGGCGAAGCTCTCCTCGAGGTGGCCCTTCTGCCTCCGCAGGGTCTCGACGCTACCCCCCGACAACCGGTCGAGCACGAGGTACATCATGTCTTCGTCCTTCGGTTGATAGACCTTCCAAGCGGGGGGGAAATGATGCATGTTGACATATACTTCGTTTATAGGGACCGCCTTCCTGATAAAAAGAGTTTTATGACGAGGAAATAGAACAGGGGAGTGGGGGGGGGGTACGCAGACACTATCTCCACCCCTTAACCCTACTTTCCCGATTGCATGCTTTATCCCAACATGTTTACTTTTGATAGGCAAACCTGGCGAAGGCTCGTGTGATGTAGCGCATGGCATAACCTCAGGGGAGAGACGGGGTCCCTCACAGTAAGAGTCGGGCGAGGGGGGGTTATGCGATGCGCACAATGGTGCGCTTGTTTCAGTTCAGTTCATAGAGTTTGGAGGAAGAATACACACACGCATCGAGAAATGCATGCCCCCCATCTCCTAGGAGTCGTAAAGTGGCTCCAAGACCCTTCTTCGGCTTAGTGCTGACAACACGAACGGTGCAAGCCGAAGCAGTTTTCGGCAAAAAATGGGTTCGATTGAAGCGTCTGGATAACACAGTCGAAGACGCAACAAAAGCGTCCTTGGGGGGTTCAAACGTAACGCTGTGGTGTCGACTGTACCAGAGGCATAAAAGCACCATAACAGTGAACCGGCGCACACCACAAACATTTGGGGGGCGCTAGAGAGCGGGCAAACTCCCTGTGGAATGAGCAAAGGTGGGAATATATCCAAGACGGGGGATCCTGCAGATCTTCCTCACCTCCTGCAGCCTAACGATGTTCGGATGACTCAACGCCTTCATTCCCTTGATTTCATTATAGAGCATCCGCATGGTAGACGGGTCGTCCTTAATGCCCGAAAGGTCTATCTGCGTGCCCCCCGAAGACAATCGCCAGGCGGCGGCGGAGGCAGGAGTAAGGTTGGGCCGGGGGTGGAGGCCAACGATTGGGTTGCAACAGCACACTGGGTTTCGCCGAACGCGAAGCTTGTACCCATCAACGACGTGTTACGTTGCGGAACAGATGAAGAGGGTAGGCATGTAGCATGGCAAAAAAAATACACGTGAACTCGTGCGCCAACTCGAGATCGCAAAATAGGAGCACGACGCAAGGCAACCCTACGCTGAGAGGAGCGCTCAGCCGACCACGATTGGGCCACGGGCCAGCTCACCTGCTTTACGGCGTACTCGACGCCGGACATGCGGTCCCTCACCCGCAGCACCGTCGCGAACGCCCCGGAGCCGAGCACGGGGCCGGTGAAGTCGTACATCTCGTGGACATCCTCGTCCAGCACTACAAAAAACAAGCGTTAACAAATACAAACAGCAGTATGTTTCGTCAAGAAACAGAGGCTCAAGCTTTGACCCGAACAAAAAAAAAAGTTGCTCGGCCGTGGATCCTATACTAAACTCTACATATACATCAACCTGTGCTCGACAGCAGCCTCGACCCGATTTTGACGTTTCGTATCTCGGGGTCCGCACTGTACGTGTTTCTGACACGGGTGATGGGGGTTCCGCACCAGCAGCGTATTTTTCCCGTTTTCATCACACAAGAACTGCGCGGTGAGGTGGATTTATTCAGCGAACTTCATACTGCCGCTTCGCCAGCGGGGGTCGAGGGCAAGCCGGTCTGTCGCAGCTACTGTAGTTAGATAGCACTCATCATGTGTGCAGCCGTTTGTTAGCCCGTTTAGCCAGCAAGAAACAACATCTCTTAGGCTGAGAAACAATCTCACGCAGATATTCCGGGGGGCATGTCCCACCAAACAAACTCGGGGGATGGGGTATAGGACACAGGACACAAACATGGCATTGGTACCTATTTGCTGCTTGTCCCACGTTGGTTGGCCACAACCTTGGGCAACGTGAGTTAAACTTGAGCGCGAACAACCACATCGCCGGATGGATGTGCCTCGACCCCCCCGTCCCCCCCCTTCTCCCACACATATCTTCTTCGTACCGTGTGTCGTGGGATTATACAATACAGCAGAGGTGGTCCCTGTTTAGTGCCGGGTGCCCGCTATAGTGCCGGTGTTTTCGGTTCGCACACACTGGAATAGTGCCTGCGTCCGTTTATTTTTTTTTATTTTTTTATTTTTTTTTATTTTTTTTTTAGTGCCGGTGAAATTTCGACACACACCCCGGCACCAATCAGGGATCTCTACTACTGTACTCGCTTCTCTACGCATGGGGCGCGCAATTTCTCCGTCAAGTGTGTTTGTTGTTGTGTTCGTGTAAATTATCACCGTGGTCTCCAGTCTCTGTGGCACCGCTCTGTAGTGCTATTTCGGTGCATGGGGAGGAGGACGGGGGGCAAAAAGCACACATAAACGAACATCTGTTGTGAGCCGAGCCAGCTGTGTTATCTGTGGCCACATTTGGCACTTGACTATTATGGCGAAAGGCGTGGCTTAGCTAAATATTATTAGTCGTGAAAAACAAACAGTTGTTGGCTCGGCTCTGTCCTTATCAAGGGACACAATCTACCAGACCTCGTCGCGGCGATATTGACTTGATAGCACCACCCCTCCATGACGAGAAATGGACCCTTAAGGTTCGAAGGTCCGGAGAGAAGGTGAAATACTTGCTAAAAAAACAGTGCAAAGAACCATTCCGACCGCTGCACACATCCATGCTTGGTTGAGAATTGCAACAATACAAGGCAAAGAAAACATGGCCGGCTATGTATGCATATTTTGAGTCGCATTACCGTAGGTGCGGCGGAATTTCCGCGACACACACAAAAACAAAAGTCATCCGCGCTCGATCGCGGGCACCTTGCAAAAGAGCACGAGGGCATTACGCCTCTGTTATGAAGTACTTGTAATAATATACTCCGGAGAACAAAACACTCTCAAATTTTGTCTGTGTTCGTCCTCTCTACTGCTGTACATGATACAGAGTCCTTTTGAGAAAACAGAGCCACAGGTAGGTTTGCTCTATTGCAACTTCCAATATTTGCGACACCTTCCGGCGCTCTGCACACCGCATGCATGTGATCTGCAATACGATAGGAGTACGTGTAACATATAACAGAGGCGAATTACTTGTTGGCGTTAGACTGTAGACTGTAGACTAGACCTCTCATGAGAAGGTTTGGATGCCTGGCCGTTAGCCTGTGTGTGTGCTTCGAACGGACGCGCGTGCTTCCTGTGGGCCCTATTCGAATGGTGGCTGACTAATCTATTGTTGTATTGTATCATTATCGAACAGGCCCTGCTTTTTGGTGAGACCGATTTTTCGGTTGGCGTGACCGCAAGCAAAGCAGCAAAGTCCAAAAACCGAGTCCCGCTTGAGAGCGGCGGGTGAGTAGTGTGTACTAGTAGTGTATCGTCTTCCGTGATGCGATGAACTTCAACTCCCACTCAGTCGGAATCGTTTATTTTCTGTTCAACCAACTTTCAAATCTGCATTTGCAGCGGTGTGCACTGCTGCTGTAAATAATACCCTTGGTGCCGTTGAGTGCCAACAATCCAATAATGCCTGATCATCCATGTACCGTAAACTACGGAGTTTCCCCCCCCTAGTACAGATTCCCCCCCCCCCCATTTTTTTTGTTTGCCATCGGGGTTGGGTTTTCGTCGCTTGGCAATGACGTTGAAAAACAACCCCCCCCCCTCGGTGTTTGCCATCGGGATTGGGCTTTCGTCGCTTGGCAACGACGTTGTAAAACAAGCCAATTCACTTTGTGAACTCGGCATCCAGGTTACCGTTTTTTTTTACCTCTGTTTTTTTTTTTGCGGTAACCATACGTGTATGGTGGTCGAGTAGATCATGTTGTGCGGGGTCGAGAACCCTCACTCCGCGCAACGGGGATGATCGCACCACGTTGTGTTAAAATGGTCAAGCATCCTCGAGGCAGTTACAAAGTGCTTATAACTGTCGATGGAAGTGAAAGCACCAGAAAATAAATTAAGTCATGCGTAGCTGTCATCCGTACGCAAGGAAGTAAGCACAAGATGCCGAACACCCTCAGCAGGATGCAGCGCACCCTTCATGCGACTCGCCGATACCTCACGGCGCTTCGCGCTTAGTGATGTGAGAGCCTGGTCAGTTGAGAACCCGGCGTGCTCCGTCCCGGCTTTGTAGGGATGCGAGGTCAATGGTCAAACGACTACGGCATGCACGACTATGAGTACGCCCCCCCCCCCATTACCTTTTCGGCCTGGAAGCATGGTTTCGTTGATTTAGCCCCGGGGTAGATCCTTTTCGACCAAGAATAAAAAGATCCCCCCGGGTATTTCTATTCCTCCCCGGGGTACCAGTTTCCCACGAGTTCCCCCCGGGGGGGATATGTTTCCCTGTTTTCTGAGTTGATTTTGTTGCATCGCGGAGCACAAAGAGCATGACATGGGACGGAAAACTCATTTGCAGATCTGCGCTTCGAGCGAGATTGAGGTGTACCGTTTGTCACTTGGCCCTCGCCGTTGTTTCATGGGTGAAATGCTTTCGTTTTCCTGTCTATTTCTTGCATTTATCAT